TGCCAACCACGGCTAACAACGACTGCAAGAAGACACCGAACAGTAACCAGCTTAGCAACCGGAGCAAACGTGTAATGGAAATCGATGCCCTCAATTTGAGTATAGCCCTTTGCCACTAAGCGTGCTTTGTAGCGTTCAATGCTACCATCAGGGCGATACTTAATTTTGAAGACCCACTTTGCCGCGATCATGCGCTTGCCCGGAGGGAGGTTAACAAGACTCCAGGTGCCATTAGCTTGAAGGGCTTGGATCTCTTTGACCATGGCCTCTCGCCATCTGGGGTCGGCCCAAGCTTCTTTGAACGTGCGTGGCTCATCATGAGAAGTGACTGCAGCAAGAAAAGTCTTATAAGTAGGTGTAAAATTGTCATAAGAGACAAAAGCAGAAAGAGGATAGGTAACAGTTGCTGCAGCACTTCCCTCGTCGTTATGAGTGAGTGGGGCAAAAGTGGTGTCATACACACTCCAGTGCTTGGGCCGAACTCGGACGCGATCACTTCGTCGAGGAGCGGCTGCTTCGGGCGCAGGAGCAGCAGGCCCAGAGGACGTGGGCTCGTGCTCGGGTGTGGTAGCTGGGTCCGGAGACGATGGAGATGGGCCCGTCGGGACAGACGCGGCCTCGTCTGTTGCGGAGGATGGGCTAGTGGCACTCGCATCCGGCCTAGGATCGGGGGCACGAGAAGCCCCAAGGTCTTCGACAAGATCATCATCACAATCCACGGTGGGCTGAGCAAAGTTGGGCCGAGGTATCCAGTGAAGCCGCTGTGAGATGTCGGCTTGGAAGGGGAACTGGTCCTCATGAAAAATGACGTCGCGGGACGTCAATAGCTTTTGTGTAGCAAGCTCATAAACTCGATACCCTTTCTGACTGGATGCGTACCCAAGGAAAACACATGCTCGGCCACGTTCTCCAAACTTGTCCAGGGCAGCATGTGTGTCCTTCGTGTATGCCAGACAGCCGAATACTCGAAGGTGGGAATAGGGCGCAGTCTTTCCAAAAAGAACTTCGAACGGTGTGCGCCTGGTGTCCTTAGTAGGGAGACGATTGATCAGATACGCCGCCGTGAGGATGCACTCTCCCCAAAATCGTAGGGGAAGACTCGCCTGGAAACGCAAAGCTCGTCCTGTGTTCAATAGGTGACGATGCTTTCGTTCCACTACTCCATTCTGCTGTGGAGTATCTGTACACGATGTTTGAAGCATGATACCTTCCTTTTCATAATATGCTTGTAAAGCGAGAGTGTTAAAATCAGGACCGTTATCGGCCTGAATTTTCTTAAGACGGAAACCAAATTGTCGCCGAATCTGCTGATCAAACATCATCAAGTACCTGCCAACATCAGACTTGTAACGAAGTAAGTAGACCCAAACACCTCGACTGTTATCATCAACAATGGTGAGGAAATAATGAGCACCGCTAAGAGATGACGTTCGATAGCCACCCCATATATCAACATGAATCAAATCAAAACAATGTTGGGTTCTAATCCCACTCGACGGGAAAGGCTGTCTACTTTGTTTGGCTCGAGAACAAGAGTCACAAAGCTTATTAGAAACAAAATCAATATCAAGTGCTGAACGTAACAAATTCAGTTTTCCAAAAGATGGATGCCCCAGTCTTGCATGCCACAATTCGTCTGACACCTTACTCCGCTGTTTTGCTGCACAAGCTTGCACTCGGCCACCACCAAACAGCTTCAAATAATATAGCCCATCACGTAACTCACCCTTCCCAATCAACTTCTTGGAGAGTAAGTCCTGAATAACGCAAAAATTATCGAGAAAAATCAATGCAACTCTATTATCTCTTATGAAACGGCTTACCGAGATGAGGTTGCACCGAAACTCTGGCACGTGCAATACGCGCTCAAGAGTGAGACCCGACTGTAATTCCACTCTCCCAACGTGTGCAACAGGTATGCTAGCCCCATTGGGAATTCGAACCGGTTTCCCATTCTCATGTCTTATTTTATTTGTCAATATAGAATCATCCATAGTGATATGCTCATTACATCCTGAATCAAGTAACCATTCAGAATCCATAGAAAACATACCTGCTAAATTGGCGGCAGGATCATCAGCGCCCTTTCCCGGATGTCCAAAGAATTGCCTGAGCTGCTCGAGCTGTGCGAGGGTGAAGCCAGACACGGGACTTGTGTCATTCTTCTCGTGCTCAACCTAAGCTGCACGTGGTTCCCTAGCCCTTTCACGTGCATGTCCTTCCCCCGTGGCTCGAGGTCGTCGCTGCTGCTGTTGATCATTTGGCTTGTCACGAGACTCATGTGGCGGGTAGCCATTTAATTGATAGCATACTTCTCTGGTGTGTCCCAATTTTTGACAGTAACTACACCTTGGTTTATCCCGTCCTCCACGTTGAGTCCCTCGGTCACCCTCACGTTGAGTGCCTCTGTCGCCCTCGCCACGGGCCGCAAATGCGGCTGCTTCTGGCGTGGGCCTGCGACTTTGTGAGATTAGTCACTGCTGTTCTTTGTTCAGGGTGATATTAAAGGCCTCCGCCAACATAGGTGTTGGCTTCATGGCGAGGACTTGAGTGCGCACAGCTGAGAATGCATCATCCAGTCCCATCAGAAAGTCGAAGAGGCGCGAGCTTTCTTGCTGCTCACGGATGCGACGCGATACATCACATGTGCAGTTGCCACAAGTGCAGATCGGTGTCGGCGAGATTGACGTCGACTCTTCCCACAAGGACCGCAGCTTGGTGTAGAAGGCCGAAACAGTATGTTTCTCTTGTTGAAGCAAACTGACCAATCGGCGGATCTCATAGGCTCGGGATGCGTTCCCTTGCCCAAAACGATTCCGCAAATCGTCCCAGATTTCCCTCGATGTCTCCGAAAATCGTACACTGCTGCGGATCTCCTTATTCATGGCTGTCTTAAGCCAACCTTTGATCATAGCATCACAACGAATCCAAGCATCCCTATGCTCTGGATTAGTAGGTTTAGCGAGCGTCCCATCCACGAACGCGTACTTATTCTTTGCGATTAATGAGTCCTTCATGTCTAGGACCCATTCTCCATAGTTGGAAGCTGTGAGGATGTCGCCGACCAACATCTGACCAGGCCCATCCGAATTGTGAAGGTAATATGCTGGCGGCAGGGTGCTGGTGCCGCTCTCTGGCTACATCTGCGTAGCATGAGGGATGCTCGCATCAGATTCTTCGCCAGCCATCGTGAAACAGTGGTCCTGAACCTACTGCTCTGATACCATGAGAAATTGAGTAAAACGCGTGCGGAAAATCAAAGAAGACAACGGTTTAACGTGGTATCCCCGACGAGTCGGGACTAATCCACGGGAGATTTTGGAATCTCTCCAGCTACTGTTGTTATTAGGTTTTCAGTGATAATCGGCCATAGCCGTGTACAGTGCTTTTATAACCCCTACAACTAGCAACTAGGGTTATATTCTCACAATCCTTGTCCACGTAGGGTACATGAATGGCCGCAGAGAAAGGCCTTGAATGGGCCGCATGTGTGGACGTGGGCTGTGTCTCGGTCAGGTCCAATATATACCATATGGTATGGCATGGTAAAATCAATTATCACACAGAACCCTCACATTTAACTTCCTAATTACCACATTTTACCACATGGTAATGCACTGTAAAATCAATTACCACACATAACCCGACCTTTAACTTGAAACTACCACACTATACCACATGATAAGGCATGGTAAAATCAAATTACGACACTATACCAATGATTCCAAACATGGTACAAGTAATTACCACCATGGTATGGTATGGTAAAACTTAAATACAGAACACAATAATATCACAACACAACACTATAGTATCACCTCTCATCGTATACCAGTAATTACCACCATGGTACCATATGGTATCTAACACATTCAAACTTCAATAAACAAACAAATTTGTATATCTTACCTCCTGATTCACCAGATTTAGCTGAATGATCAAATCCAAGATCGATAGATGAAGAAGCCGTTCGAACAGCACTAGATGAAGAACCAGATCCTACAACGCTGGTTGAAGAACCAGATCTATCAATTGGAACAACATCGCCACAATTTACGTAACTCATCTCACCAGAATACTGCAAAAACACCAAAACACAAAGAACATATAACACATGAACAAGCTCGATTAGCTAAACATGAACAAGCTCGACTAGCAGCAATGAAAAACCTCCAACGAAACCAGAGATCAACAGAAAACTTGATTAGCTAAACAGGAAGAATAAAAAAAACTAATATCTAACCTCGTCGTCGATCAATTATGGAGAATCAGAAAAGATTCGCCGTCCCCTGTTTCTCAGCGGCTGCTCGCAGTTTCTCTCTACAAAAACCGAATCCAACTCGCGCACACGTCGATCAATTATGGAGAATCAGAAAGCTCGATTCGAAGCGGCTGCTCGCAGTTTCTATCGCTGTCGATCAATCATGGAGAATCGCCGTCCTTGTTTCTCAGTTGCTGCTCCCCTACTCGTAGTTTCTCTCTCCAAAAACCGAATCCAACTCGCGCACAGAAAGATTCGCAACAGACAAAAGGGGGAAGTCATTAATTCAAAAAATCGGACAAAAATGCCCCTGACATCACCGCATCAACCAAAACCACACGATCAGCCCGGCCCAGATCTACGGTCCTAAGGTGGTTACTCACGGGTGAGTAACAAAGGGTTACTCACCCTATCCTAAGTCTCCAACGAGGATCACCCTCGCTAAACTAGTCTCGGTACATGAAAGCAAGCTTGTATCTGTCAACCACATAAACAAAGAAGAACGGCGTGTTGGTATCAAAACGATGTGTCCTAGCAGCAGGAAGCGGGATAGGGTAGCCGAGCCCATCGAACCAAGTCTGGTTGCCGTCATAATAAGTTACCATCGTCACGCCGCCGTCCGGATGCGTCGTCTTCACGAACCACCAGTTCTGCTTGTCGAACGCCCCGAACCCCAAACACGAGAGATAAATCTTTGGCGGAGGCTTCCAATCTCTAGGCTCCTCATCCACCAGTTGCACTATTGTCGTCGGGAACCACGTGGAGGCGCCAATGGCACCGGCTGCCTTCTGCTCTTGAGAACCGTGTCGTTCAAAAAGTATCGTGTCGTGGCTGTTATCGCCCACGATTGCTTGCGACGTTGCTGCTCCAGCTCGTGGTGTTCGGCCTTCTCTTTCCTCAGCGTCTCGAGTTCGTCTTTCTTTATCTTCGCCAGCCTTCGCAGCTCCTCGTCCTTCTTCGTCTCCAGATCTCATAGCTCCGCCTCGTGCTTTTCACTCGCCCCCTCCATCTCCTCCTTCAGCTTCTGAAGCTCATCGTCTTGTTCCTCCATCTCTTCCCTCAGCTTCTCCAGGTCCTCCTCCTTCTTTTTCACCGTTCTCTTCATCTCCTCGTACTTCTCCTTGCTCACCCCTCTTGTGGTCACCGTCGTGGCAAGCTGCTTCGCCCGACTCGGCATGGTGTATTTCAATAAGCAGCATGGCCACGTGGTGAGGCCCGCTATGCTGACCCCATGAAAGGGCCAGTTGAAAAGATCGTTCAGTTGGAGATAGTGAATTCCAAAGTCTTTGTGTTCCCACAATTCGGTGACATCCTGGAAACAGTGCCCTTGTGGGCTCACCATCAGTCGCAGCCGAGCGAGGTGCTGGGCCAGCTTGGTCAGGGCCTCCCTTCCTTCGATCTCTGCCTGACCGTCGAAGAACATCAGGCCGTCGTAGGATAATGACTCATTCGTTCCTTCATCACTGTCATCGTGATCACAGGGAATGATGTTGCCAACTTCTTTCCAGTGAGCCTTTTCGGATGTAAGAAGGGTAAATGGTAGGGTTGCTCAACTCGTAGACTTCGAGGGTAGTTTTGTCAGAGGAAGCAACGAAGTGCTTGTCTGACTTGAAATCAAAGAGACGAACCATGCTTAATTACCTAGTTAGCTAATTAATATTCTCTTCTAGGTCCGCCACTGCATGCATGAGCAGTATCAAGACATCCAGGTGACCAACCGAGACGAAGTTACACCCGGTTCGATTCGGGAGATCGCTTATGGACATGGTAAGTACTTATTAATCATTTTTAATTATTATAAACATGCAATTAATTATTATATATATATATATATATGATGCAGCCATCTCACGTATGGTTTCACGGGCGACCGAGGAAATCACCCGGATTGACCTCACGAGTCGAACCATTGAATCTAGGTTCAAGCCCGATGGTGCCTTCATTGGCAGGTTCTTTCGTTCGGCCTCCTTGGTCATAAAGGTCGAACCGCTGTCGATGAACCATGGCCCTATGCCCTCCCCCGACCACACGAAGGGGCCCACGCCCACGCCATCATCATCCACTCCCGATGCCGGCGTTATTTCTACAGAACCACCCCCGCTGCGGCGCGGTGACCGAGTTTGGATGAGACCTAAACATCTCAATATATATCACACCAACCTCCCTGGTGACAAGGGAAGTACCCATAATTTTTTCAATTACCCTTTATCCAATCATGTGTCGTATGATGGTTTTACCCCCACGTTTTGTGCTTTTCTTGTAGCAATCACTCGGGATGACGAACCTCAGACGTTTCTTCAGGCCATCAAGGACCCGAGGTGGCGCGCTGCAATGGCCAAAGAAATTCTCGCCCTTGAGGCCAATGGTACGTGGGACCTTGTTCACCTGCCTCCCTGCAAGCGTGCCATCGTCGCCAAGTGGATATACAACATCAAATACTATCAAGATGGCAGCATTGAGCGGTTTAAGGCACGGCTGGTCGCCAAGGGATATACACAGATTGAGGGTTTGGACTTCCATGACACCTTCGCCCCCATCGCGAAGTTAGTTACAAGTTTACTGCAGTCTTGATCGAGTTTGGTTTTCGATCCTCTCCTGCAGATGCTGCTTTGTTCATCTACCAGCGAGGGACTACTTTTATGACTGCCCTCATTTACGTCGATGATGTGCTCCTGCCCGGGAATGATCTCCCTTTCATCTCTCGCGTCAAGCGATTTGTGGATGATCGTTTTAGTATCAAGGACCTCGGAGTCCTACGTTATTTCCTGGGCATTGAGGTTGCCCGTGTCTCTACCGGCGTTGTGCTCAGTCAATGCAAGTATGCTTTAGACATACTGGAAGATGCTGGTGTTCAGGATTCTCGCCCTAGTGCTTTCCCAGTTGAGCAGAACCACCAGCTCACACGGCCGAGTAATGACGATCTCTTGCCTGATCCTTCCCAGTTTCGGCGGCTGGTTGGTCGCCTACTCTATCTCACCATCACTCGCCGGGATATCACCTATACTGTCAACATCCTCAGCTTATTTGTTCATGCTCCCAGTCAGATGCACTTGGATGCTGCTCACCGGGTTCTGCGATATCTTAAGTCCAGTCCTGGCCAAGGAATCTTCTTCCCATCTTATAATCCTCTCCGACTTACTGCTTATTGTGATGCCGACTGGGGCGGTTGTCAGAGTACTCGTCGTTCGACGACTGGTTATTTTGTGTGTCTTGGTGGTGCACCGATCTCTTGGCGCATGAAGCAAGAAAAGGTAGTGGCCCGGTCCTCAACAGAGGCTGAATATCGTGCCATGGCCAGCAGTGTTAGTGAGATTGTATGGCTACGTTGGTTACTTGGCGAGCTCGGTGTTCCTCAGAGTCACTCGACCTCGCTCCACTGTGACAATCAAGCGGCCCTGCATATTGCCAACACTCTAGTCTTCCATGAGCGTACTAAACATGTGGAGATGGATTGTCATTTTGTTCGTGAACGTGTTCAACTTCACACGTCATTCCAGTCAAGGTGCGGGCTGAACTTCAACTTGTGAATCTCTTCACCAAAGGCCTCGGTGGTGATCGTTTTCGTTTTCTCCTTTTCAAGCTGCACGTTCGTGACCTTCACACTCGAGCTTGCGACAATTTTACATAATGCACTTTACACCTACCTATTAAAAAAATTATGTTGTAAGTCAAAATTTATAAAAAAAATATTTATAATTTAATTGAATCAATCACGATTAACATTTTTCTGGTAATTAGCTTTTCCATTAAGCACACTCGATCAACTAGATCAAACCTCACAAAAAACACAGACACCCAATCTTACATTAGCACACTACAGATAGTCAAGCCACGGTACATAAATACTTCTCCTATTACATGGTTACTTTCCAAATCATCTTTAAACTTAACTTTGCCGAAAGTTAACAAAGCAACTTCTTCATTTACAGCCTGTTTGGATTGACAAAAAAGTAAGGAATTGGAATTCCATTTCCATATATTATGTTTGGAATAATAAAAAGGTTGAGAATTGAATTCTAGTGGGTCTAAAATATGAGAATTACAATTCCTATCAAAAGTGATAGGAATTGAGAGAATGAAAATGCAATTAGTGGGACCCATCAATACTTTTTATTATTTTGTTGACCCACTATCATTTTACTCTCTTTCTCTCTCATTCATATTTCATTTAACAAAATAAAACAAACATATTACATTATTCATTATGGTTAAAAGTGCAATTCATTTCCATAGTTGTAGGAATTTTACCAAACACTAGAATTGGAAATGGAATTCTATAAAAATAAAAAATTGAATTCCATTTCCATTTCCATTTCTTCCGGAATTGTATCCAAACAGGCTGAACAGTTCCCATTGCCTGGACTGTTCAGCAAATACCCTCCTGCATCTTTCATTCCACATCAGGCTACAAATCCAACACCATATTGCACTGACTACATGACTTGTTCAGCCTCCCTTCTTGCAATTCCACACATCTTCTGTAACATCTGCTCCCAAAGATAGAGGCCAACTTCCAAGCAACGAACCAATTACCGTTGAGATCAGTTACTCAGTATACTCACATTGACAGAAAAGTTGTGATCTACTCTTCATCTCTTTTGCCCAAAGTACACATAAAGCATCAGTAATCTTCCCCCAACCTTTAAGCTTGTCCCGGATGGCAATTCTATTCAATATACTCAAATGTCATACAAAACTGAAACTAGGCTTGTAGTTTAAGCAGTTGCCTCCATGGCCAAGATCCATCCATGGTAGGTTTCAATTCCCATATAGAGCGATTATTCAATTTGTACCTCTGCACCCAGGCTAGCCAGAATCTCCTTCTCTGCATGAAACGTAACCACATGAGGCAATCTATGCAAGTGACATTCATGTTATAAGATCTCTCAGATCCATGCCTCCTTTCGTTTTTGGTGTTGCCAAGAGTTTCCAAAGGACTTTTGCTTTCCCTACACCCTCACCATACCATAAGATATCCAAGCATACCTTTTGAATCTGTTCAATTATTTTCTTAGGTAACACAAAAATGGTCATCCAGTATTGGAAAAGAGAATAAAGCATCGAGGAGACCAGTTCAAGCCTTCCTGCATAGGAAATTTTTCCAGCTCTCCATGCCCTAATTATGCAATTCATCTGGTCAACCAGAACTTCACTCCTTACTATTCAGTTTACTAGAGATTAACATTTTGAGATAGAATTAAGATAGATGTATTAAAATAAAATAAATATTAGTGACACAATATATGACATGGTTTTGCGGGCTAGTGACCCACCCTCCCCCAAAAATTGATGACTTACACCCACCTACTATATTTGCCCAAACACTTTTTCGGTTAATTATAATTTTGTGGATTATGGAGGGTTTAACAGTTGACGGACGCGCCCATTGATTATCCCTAGTTAGTAATTAGTTCTTCAATTCTTTACAAATTAGTCTTACTAACCGAATCAATAACTGTTACAAACCAGACCAACCAATATTACAAGTTAGATTAATTAATATTACAACTTGGTCATACAAATATTACAAATCAAGCTGAGAAACATTACAAACTAGACTACAAAACATTAAAAATTATAAAATTTTCTTTTAAAAAATTACAAATTTTTTTGGTAACTATTATAAACAAGACCAACATGAATAACTAATATTAGAAATCGATTTTACAAATATCACAAACAAGATTAAGAAACATTACAAATTAGAACTGCAAAACCTTGAAATTTTTTTGTGTCTTACCATTTCTGTGAATCACACCACTCTTATAAAAGATTGTAGGGCTTGTAGTTTTGCATTTTGTAGCTAAACCTGACCATAATAAATAAACAAGAACACGTCAACTTAGAATTATAAGAGAAATAAACATCCAATAAAACCAAACCAAAAGGAAAGGTGTTGAGCCAAGATTGAAGGGTGAGAAATTCTTGTATGCCTTTCAAGAT